AGAGTTGGGGCGGGCCTGAGGGTGGGGTTGGGGCGGGGCCGGGTCCCCATGGAGTGTCCTCCTTTTTAAAAATTAAAAGATGGTAACCCTAGTCAGGTAGGGAAGGCTGCGCCTCCCCAAACACCCTGGCCCCCGCCCCCTATCTGCCCCCTCCCACTTCCCGCCCCCTCAGAACTTCTGACCCCCCCAAACCCCCACCCCCGCTTCTTGTTCCCTAACTGCTCCCTGGGACCCCACCCCCTATCCAACCCCCCCGTTCCCCATCCCCTGACTGCCTCACCCCCTGAACCTCCACCCCATCCAACCACTCCCTGTCTCCTGACTGCCCCCTGGGACCTCCTGCCCCTTATTCTCCCCCCCCCCCCTTACTATGCCGCTCAGAGCAGCAGGAGTTCGCAGCCATGCCGCCGCGCTGCCCGGCAGGAGTGGCGGACCAGAGCACTGGCGGCGCAACAATCTGAGGCTGCGGAGGAAGGGGGACAGCACGGGAGGGGCCGGGGGCTGGCCTTCCCAGCCAGGAGCTCAGGGGCCGGGCAGGACAGTGGCCATAGTTTGCCCACCTCTGTGCTAGAGGATGTGCTAAGGATCTCACTCTTGAGCAGGCAGACTGTCTCAAAAAGTGGAAAGAGGAAAAATACTCCCAGAAGAGTGGGTGACTGTGTATGTAGTCATGCAATTACAATGATTCACATGTCTTTGTAATGCTGGTCATGATACTTGACAACAGGAGGAGCAGAGAGACCCAAAATGTGAACCTGCAAGAAAGAGAGACTAGTCTGCAATCTTCACGGAAATAATAATTTTAAAAAAGTAAACAAAACTCATGGCAAAATTCAGCCCTCATTTATTCCTATGTACCACTGATGGAATTAGTGGACTTTCATTGGTATAGCTCAGGGCAGAAATTGGTTTTACGGTTCTAGCTCAGCAAGCATATACCTTGTTTTCATGCTGCATATCTAAGTGGGGAGGAGACTAGTAACAGCTAGGATGATTCATTTTGTTTGAACACAGATCCTGTTAAGATTTGCTCACCCAGATCCTTAGAGAATATCCAGAATGAACTCATCTGCAAACTGCTCTCTAGCATTTGGAAAGATTGTGTGGCTATGTTTATCCTGGCCACACTTTAGACCAGGGGTTCTCGCAACAATTTTTTTGGTGGCCGTACTTACACTTTTTTCTAAAATTATTAATTTTTTTCCCTAAAGTTAATAAAGTAATATGTACATATATACATCAAAATCATTGTAATTTATTTATGTAAGGGTTTTTTTTTGTTTTTTGTTTTTTTTTTTGCAGACTCAATAATAAAAATCATGGACAGTTATCTCTATTCTTTACTGGACCTAACAGAGTAGAAATATAAATATGGTGCTTTGCACGTTCTTGTCTTTTTAATTATTGTTTCTTGTGCTTTTTTGGTAAAAGTAAATGTCTGTATAACAATTCTGAAGTAAATTTAAAAACGCTTTTACATAATTGAAGTCCAAATAATAACGAAAAACATATCTGGGTGGCTTGGATCTGGGGAGGGGAGGGGTGGGAAGGGGACAGGAGGCATGGCTGTGGCTGGCCAAGGGCTCCTCTGGGCAGGTCAGGGGGCTCAGGGCTTTGCCCAGCCCAGGGCTCCTCCAGCTGTGGGGGAAGGGGTGCTCAGGGTTTCTCCAGGCGGGGGGCTTGTGGCTCCAGGCGCAGGGAGTCTCAGGACTCCAGCTGCTGGAGGCGGGAGCACAGGCAGAAGGGGTGCAGTCAGGGCCTAGCCTCCCCAAAGGGGGGCTCCATCTGCTGCCTATGCACCCGCCACTCGCCTCCTGTGTCCCTGCTCACTCCCCACACCCGCTGCTCGCCTCCTGTGTCTCTCCTCACCCGCCGCTTGCCTCGCTGGTGGCTCACCTCCTCACTCCCCCGCTCACAGCCAGACCCCCCTGCCCACCTCCTCACCCTGCCGCTGGCTTGCCTCTCGCCTCCCGCCTCTTCATTTTGGCGGGGCCAAAGTGATTTTTATGCTCACTGTTCTTTGATATCACCTTTGTAAGAGGTAAGGCAAAATCTGTATATCTGAGATCTCTTCCTCAGCCTGCTAGTTATCTGGGCTCATGTACTACCTGCCATCTATTCTTAAATAGATAGTTGATCTGGTCTCTGTTGGGACGGGGTCTAAACTGTGGAGGTCTCGACCCCTGAACTCCATCTCATTCCACCACATCTGAAAAAAAATCTATGGAAGTGTGACCACTGTGGACATTGTATTTGTTTTCTCCCTCTTTTCTGGAGCCTCTTAGATCATTTTATTTCTTATGTTTGTAGAGGATGCTCTCTTATTTAAATAAATCATGTATTGTTATGATGTACTGATGTCCTCCACCCCAACCGAAGCATTCAAGGTAGTATAAGTTATAAATAGCCAATATATTTTTATTATCTATTTCCTGCCAGTGTTTTCATCCCATTGGTAGGACACACTGCTTCGTTATAAAATTGTTCATGGGTGGAGTGCGCGGCTACTTTATTAACACCATAATAGACAAAGATTTTGGAATTTGTAAAGATAAGTAAATGATATAGACTCTTGATAAAAATGACTTTTAAGAAACAAAATGAAAAGGACCTGATCCTGTGACTTAATTCATGTGAGCGTAGTGGTACCACCGTTGAAGTTGATGGGACTATTTGTGTGAGTAAAGTTGCTCTCATGCAAAAGTGTTTACAGGATGGGGCCATAGAGTTCTTCAAAGGCAGTGCCTTTTTGAGCAGGGAAATTGTTTGATGTATTTGGGCTTGTTTTCACAACTGCAACTCTTCAAAAATATATTTTGTTTGGCTGTAGAATTAGTAAGACTATAGGCTCCAGCCCCCGCAGTTCAATCTGTGTTGCGGACCTTTGTGTGCCTATGTGGAGCTGCACTAATTTCACTGGGCTTTTGCACAGGCACAAGGGTTCACCGTGCGGCTCTGATTACAGTCAGGGCCAGAATCAGTGGTAAGATTTTTTTTTAATGTATTATTTTTTACTTAAAGGGATAATGTCAAGTTTTATCAGTTTAAAAACTGTCTCCTGCCAAGTCATTGTCACTTGGTAGTTATGAAAGAGAAAATCTCTAGTTTCATTTCTCTGACTAAAGAATGAATCAGTGCCAGAGGTACAGCACTTTTCAATGGTCATATTGTAACAAGGGAGTGTCCCTGCAGTGTGAAAAGGGTTCTGTAAAGAAAAAAATTCTAATATCATGCCTCTGTAGTGTTTTTATAAACTACAGTTTCAGGATGGAATTTTTGTAAAATACCGTGGCAGTTTCTGCTTACAAGTACCGTGTGTGTGTGTGTATACACACCTCTACCCCGATATAAAGCTATCCTCGGGAGCCAAAAAATCTTACCGTGTTATAGGTGAAACCGCGTTATATTGAACTTGCTTTGATCCGCCGGAGTGCGCAGCCCTGCCCCCCGGAGCACTGCTTTACCGCGTTATATCCAAATTCATGTTATATCTGGTTGCGTTATATCAGGGTAGAGGTGTGTGTATATATATAATTGTATTTACTGTGTATTTTTTTGTTTTATAAAGTGATGTAGTGACTTCACTGAATGTAAAATGACAACGTGTAGTGATGTGAAGTCTTATAACACAGCAGGGCAAAATATAATGTGTGAGCATGCTAAGTCCCTCTGACTATTAGGATCTATTTATTAAAAATGTGAATGCAATTGCGACCCTAATATATAAAAGTATTTACTGTGATTGTTCAAACAAATTAGGTAATTGTGGGTGCACAAATGGGCAATTATGTATCTAACTGGCCATTTGCAGATGCAGTAAATGCATTCACAATTTAAGAAAGCAACTGAATGTGCTTTGTAAAAAAAACAAAACAAAACACCCAAGAAAACTCGGCCTTAATGCCAGATTGCTTTCTAACTATTTTTCTGTGTAGCAAAAATATCATATCTGTAATACTATTAGTGTTTAAAAATTGTCCTGTACATATTAATTATAAAAAAAAATTGTTCCTGCATTCTCTGTGCATTGAAAATTCCCTAGATTTGGAATTTTAAGTGCATGTGCAATGCAGGCTTGGGCCTTTGATTTATATGTGAACAATCTAAAGACTTGACCCTTAAATATTAACATATGTTCTTACTAACATTAACGCTTACTTCTGTGAGTAATCTCAATGATTTCTTTATTCTGCAATCACTGTGGCATGTGAGCCACTTGATGCATATGAACAGTCACGCTGAATGAAGTTACTAAGACTATTTGTAAATTATTCATGTGTGTAAATTATTCATGTGTGTAACTGTTCACAGGATGGGATCTTACACGTGGTAATAAGAGTTATGCTTGCCCTAATTATTTTGTAGAATCAAGCTCCAAACTTGTCTTTAGTTTAACTGTGGGATTTGGTGTTTTGTTTTGTTTTAATTTTATGTTTTCCCTTTCCCTCCCCCCCCCCCCCCATATATCTGAAACTTGGCATACAGATCTTAACCAATTTTCTACAGCTAGGGTCCTGATTTAGTAAAGCACTTACACATATAATACATGCTTGTACATATGTAAAGTTAAGCATGTATTTAGGTGTTATGCTGAATTTTGGCCTAAATTATTAGCCCTTGAAAACGGGTTCACAGTGGACATTTCTAACAGCTGAGTTAGTGATGGCAATATAGTGAAGTCTGCTACCAAAGTAAATGTGCACACTTGTAAAGATATCTTCAGATGAAAGTGGAAATTTTTTTTGCCTTTTTTTCCTCTCTCCTTTTTTTGGTGGGAAACTAACTTTTCCAATAAGCAGAAGAATCATCAGTTTCTTCATAGCCTAATATCGTCTTCTTGTACTTACATTTGAATTCCTTAGATAAGGGGGAATATTATACAGTTGGACAAGATTCTCTGTTTGTTTTTCTATCCTACAATAGATGGGAATACAGCACTGTGTGACTTCTCTTATTCCTTCATCTGTGTCTTTCAGTGGACTATGGGAATCTGCTGCTCGCAGAGGCCCTTCTGGAGCAGTGTTTAAAGGAAAACCTTGCCAAAATAAAGGACTCCATTCCATTAATGGAAAAGAATGAGCCAAAAATGACTGAAGCCAAAAAGTATTTGACTGGTATTCTAAACAGAGGAAAATTACTAGTAAGTACTCTCAGTAGATGCAAATCGTTATCATGTTGATGCTACTGTGACATAGTTGTTAGACAGAAATACAAAACATCTGCATCATTTATGTGTGGCCACCTGTTCTGTGCTCCTTAATAATGTCATTAATGTACCATTTGTTATCTCTTTGTGGTATCTTCAGTTGGAAGAATCCCTTTTTAGGAGTACTAAAGTAAATTATATGCTCATTTACTGATACACATTAATTTTTTTCTGGCAATAATTTGAAACGAGTTGGCTGAAAGGGTAGGAATTTGCTACATTATTGGACACCTCATGCTTCTATAACCTTGCTTTGAAGGATTGAAAATTAACACTAGTCTGAAATCCTGGACTTGCTACAGTCTATTTAAGGGCTTGATCTTGTGACTGTTGCAGAAGGCCCTCATTTTGCATTTATTTCAATGTATTTTTAGGTACTTGGGCAAAGATTTTTCAAAAGTGACTGGTGCTTTCCCCCTTAGTTATTTAGGTTTCACTGCCTTGGTACTTGCAGTGTCATCATCCTATTAGTTCTCTGTTCATCCACAGAATCTTTCTGAAGAAAATGGGGAGACAAGACTTAGATTTCAATGTTAAAACCCAAGAAGTTAAAAACAAAACAAAGAAACAAAACCCTCAGACGTTCTGGGCCTTGTTTATACATCAGAGACACAATGGAGGTCACAAACCAATTACTGTTCTTTTGGAGGGCACTTAAATTTCCAATAGGCCACATAAACTGACTGTGTATTATTGTTTAGAATGTGCAAACTGTAGTGGGGTACAGATGGGCATTCACTGTGGTCCAGAGCTGCTTGGGCAGTGAGGAGCATAAACAAACTAGCTCCTCACATTCCCCCATCAGGCATGCATATCCCTGGCCCTGTCTGCCCAGGGGGGCTGCAGGAGACAGAGTTACTGTGACTCTGGGGTTGCACTATTCCCTGTGTCATGCCAGCTGGGGTAGGGAAAGAAGGCTGGAAATGGGTTTCTGTTCTTTAATTTGAAAAGAGGAAACCTCATTTAGGACTCATTAGGAGTCACTGGGGGTATCCGTGTAGTGGGCTTGCCACAGGGCAGGTGGAGCAGTGCCCCACTAGGAAAAATAGAAACAAATCCTGTGTAGTAAAATCAGTGACACTGTCCCAGTTCTGTATGCCATCCACAACTGCTAGTGCAATAGAATAGCTCTACCAGATCCATGTGAGGGTATCAACTCTGGTGTCCCCATGTTGTAGGTTCCAGAACAGGGCTTCAGAGCAGTTTTTGACACTTTATTACCCACTGATCTCAGACTTAAAAGCATGAGCTTAAGACTGGAGTCTTTGTCCGCCAACCATGTTCCACACCTAGCTTTGGAGAGTTAACTACAGGGGAAGCCAGCAGTATTGAGACTAGAAATGTAATGCTGAAAGGGACCTCGAGAGGTCATCAGGGCCAGCCCCCCTGTGCTGAGGCAGGACCAAGTATACCTAGACCATTCCTAACAGATGTTCTTGATTTTTGCTTTATGTCTAGCACTGTTTTCTCTGAGGTAATGCTGTTTTGCTCTCCACGTATCTCATCACAGAAAAATCTTTATTTTTCCAGCCTAAATATATGACTGAAGCAGTGTTGATCCTTGGGAAGCTCCATTATGTGGAGGGATCCTACAGGGATGCAGTCAGCATGTATGCCAGAGCAAGAATTGATGACATCTCCATAGAAAATGAACCTTTGTACCGTCTGCGCCTGGTGACTGAAGCATTTGTTATCAAAGGTAATAAGTTGTAAATGTGTCTTAGAAGTAGTTACATATTTAGGCTGGGATTTTCAAAAGCGCTCAGCACTGGCCTCCCTCTGCTCCCACTTAAGTCAGAGGGAGTCTTGCCACTCATTTTAGTGGCAGCAGAGTTAAGATATGCTGAACACCTTTTAAAAAATTCCACCAGTAATGCCTATCTAGTTTAAAATGTACACATACAGAGATATTACAGAATCTTAGTCTATACGTTGTAAACTTGACTGACTTACAAAAAGAAGTTAGAAAATATTAGAGCAGGTAAGGAATGTTGTAGTAATAGTGGCCCTGATTCAGCAATGCATTTAAAGTTTAAATTAAGTGCATGTTTGAGTGCTTTGCTGAATTGGGGGCCTATGTTTTTCTTTGGAAGGAAGGAAAGGACATATACGCACAAACTTTGAGTGACCTACATAAAATAGTTAATACAACCTCGCCAAGTTTTAAAATCGGAGGGGTAGCCGTGTTAGTCTGGCTCTGTAAAAAGCAACAGAGAATTGGGCATTCACCCACGAAAGCTTATGCTCCAATACATCTGTTAGTCTTAAAGGTGCCACAGGACCCTCTGTTAAGTTTTAAAATGTGAACTGACATAATATGTGTTTTCAAGGTGGCTACCATATTGTTGCAATGCATGCCACATGCTATCAGATCTCTTGTATACAAACAGCAGTCTCTCCTTTTTTTCTTTATTTTGTTTTAATTATCCACAGCTTTTTGAGAGACCTTATTGAAAACAGCACCTATCATTAGCAAAACTGCATGTAATTTTTGAAAGTGAAAAAAACTGTTGACTGATGAAAACAAACAAGCCCTGTAATCTTCTCCTTTAGTTGCTTTCAGTTCTTTTATAAATGTTGCTAAAATATTGCTATCTATCTACTGCTTTCTACTCTTTTCAGCATTTCCGCCAGCTTATTAGGTGAATGAGAACTCTGTGATGATCAGATATCCTCAACTGGTATGTAAAAAGAAAAAACAAACCAACCCAAACCCTGTTTGAATGTGCCGTTAGCACCGATAGTAATTTGGATGTGTTTCATGATCTCACACAGTCACAGCATTCTGCTTTTTAAAAACCTGTTTGTTGTGCTTCTTTGCTGGCTTTGGATTTCTTTTCTGTGGGCATTGGATGAGTCTACTGTGGTAGTGAGCTTGTACATATTGTAATTGATTTGATTTGTAATTTGCACTTACTCCTTTTGTTGAGAGAAGAGGGGAGGACTGGTGAAAGCTACTGATACGTGTATTAGCAGTGTGTCCAAGAGCAACTAAGGGCCCAATCTAAAGCCCTTTGAACTCCATTAAGTCTTTCCATTGACTTCAATGGGCATTTGATTAGGCCTTATATTAGCTACATAAGTTATTGTAATGTGTGCATATAAACATATCGAAAAGCATTGCTTCTTAGGGCCTGAGCCAGTGAGGTGGTGTATTCCCCATCCCCTGCTGATGCCACAGGAAGCTGAGGTAGGTTTGTGCCTTGCTGGATCAGGTCCTGTCTCTTGCTAATGTTTCATGTTTGTAAGTATGAAGATTCATGATGGCTTTTCCTTTTGGTTTGGCGTGTGTGAGAAATTCAAGAAACATGTCACCTATGCTGCATCATTTCCACTATTCTCATTTTCCCCTCTGATTTATGGGATTAGTCTACAAGCCAGAAGCATGTAGGCCTCTCAGAATTCAGTTCTGTTCTTTCATCATAAATTTTGGACAGAAAAAAGAATCCTGCTTGAGACTTATCCCAGCTAAATTTGTTGAGAAAACACAGCTTTCCCACTTCCTATTAGTAATACAAATAATTCATCATCAGAATAATAGTATTTTTGTACTTGCTTACAGAGCAATGAAACCCTCTTATATTTATTTAGTAGCATGCATAAAATTATACAACAGTAGGTTTCTGCATGGACTCATTGTGCAGGGCAGAATAAGGAGAGTTGTCCTTTATTTAAAAACAAACAAACCTGTAGCTCCAAAATGAAATTTACTGGATATTTTCCCTCCTTTTGCAAATCTCTGGACATAAATGGCTCTTCAGTTGGTTATTAATTGGCTTAATTCCATTAAGTTCAATGGAACTACTTCTCAACTGATTTAAATTGGATCTGGTCCAAAGTAATTTTCAGTTTAGCACTGACCGTAGGTCCTTGCTTTGGTTTAGAAAACAATCCAAATCAGTATGAACCCACAAAGTCTTCCTTTCAGAATAGAACCTACCCTTCTTCTTCTTCTTTTTTTAAGGTTTGGATGAAGCATTAAATGTACAGTCAGTTACTTTCCCTTTCTACCCAGAACTCGTTACACAGTCAAGAAAACACCCTTTAATAACAACTTTTTTAAAGATGACCCTGCAGCACCACTGCTTTCATTGTTCGAGGCCAATTCTACACCAGCAGAGTTTTTTCACCAAAAGTTTTGTTGACGATCAAAAAGCGCTTAAAAGAAAATTGTTATTGCCCATTCATACTGTCTTCCTCTGTTGGCAGAGCGCGTCCACGCTTGGGGCAGTAGCATCGACAGTGAGAGCAAAACATTGTGGGTAGCTATCCCGCAGTTCAGCTCTCCGCCTTCTACCACGGGATCTTGTGGAAAGGAAGAGTGGATCGCAGCGCATCATGGCGGGTCAGGGCGCAATCTCCCATGATGCATTGCTTTCCATCCCAGGAGTCCATTTTCTTCCATCTTAAGTCTGCAGCATTTTTCAACATCCCTTGTTTTCTGCTTGCCCCGCCAACTGTGTCTGAAAGACTGGATCCTGCATTGCAGTCAAATGCTCCACTAGCTGTCAGTAACACATTGCTGTGCAGTTAATCGTAAAGTTCTGAACTCAGTGGGATTCACAGTTGTGTGACGTGCTGTCTGACATCGATAGGAGCAACATTAGATTACTTTTGGCATTCACGGAGTAGCTGCACTCAGTGGATTGTTGCTTTTGGGCTCGGGAACCTAGCAGTGAGTGGTGGGATAGCATCATTATGCAGGTCTGGGATGATGAGTAGTGGCTGCAGAACTTTCGGATGAGAAAAGCCCCTTTCCTGGAACTGTGTGCTGAGCTTGCCCCAGCTCTGCGGTGCAGGGATGCCCAAATGAGAGCTACCCTTTCAGTGGAGAAAGGCATGGCAATCGCAGTGTGGAAGCTGGTGACTCCAAACTGCTACTGGTTGGTCACAAATCAGTTTGGCGTCGGGAAGTCGACTGTTGGGGCTGCGTTAACGCAAGTGTGCAGGGCCATTAATGGCATCCTGCTACGAAGGATCATGACTCTTGATAATGTATGTGAAATAGCAGATGGCTTTGCAGAAATGGGTTTCACTAATTGGAGGGGCAACAGATGGCACGCATGTTCCAATTTTGGCACCGGACCACTTTGTGACGGAATACATCAATAGGAAGGGATACTTCTCCATGGTGTTGCAGGCGCTTGTGGACCACTGCAGACGTTTCACTGACATCAATGTGGGGTGGTCTGAAAAGGTGCATGACACATGTATATTTAGGAACACCAGCCTGTACAGAATGCTGCAAGCGTGGGCTATCTTTCCAGACCAGAAAATTACAGTAGGGGATGTTGAAATGCACATAGTGATCCTGGAAGACCTGGCATACCCCTTAATGCCTTGGCTCATGAAGCCTTACATGGGAAACCTAGATAGCAGTAAGGAGGGTTCAACAATAGGTTGAATAGGTGCAGGATACCCTTGGAATGCACGTTTGGTAGATGAAAGGTGTGCTCTTGATGCCTTTACGGCAGGTTAGACCTCCGTGAGGATAATATTCCCATGGTTGTTGCCATATGTTGCATGTTGCCCAATATTTGTGAAGGCAAGGGTGAAAAGTTTGCTCGGGTGGACTGCTCAGGCAGAACACCTGGCTGCGGCTTTCGAGCAGCCAGATACCAGGGCTATGAGAGGACACAGTGGGGCGCAATTCAAATCTGGGAAGCTTTGAGGCAACACTTTGAAGATGAGAACCAGTAATGTATGTTGCTATGCTCTGGACTACAATGCTTAATGAAATCGAGTTTTGCTAGGGAGCACTTGTGATTTTTGTGGCCTGGGATTCAGTGTAAGCAAATGATTTAACTGCTTGTTTGTTTTTGCTGCCATGTGCTATCACAGTTTGCTGGAAACACACGTACGTACGTACGTACCGGGGAGGACTGACTTTCAGAGCTGTGCGCAAGTCCAGCTATCATTTGAAAAGGTGCTGTGGGGGTGGAGTGAACGGGAAAGCGAGAAGTTACAGACAGGGGAAGGCAATTTATGAATGGAGTTTGGGGAAGGCATAGGAAAGAGTATTGAATATGTTGAAGGAGAGAGCAGGCATGCATTTGTTTAGGCTGGAGGGTTATGAGGGTTTGTAGTATGTCAGTTTGCTTCTCCATAACTTTAATCATCCTCTCCATTGCATCCCTAGAGTAGGTCTCATTTTCTTTTCTGTCCTGCATTGATTTTCCTCCACTGCCTGCGTTCCCTGTTTTCTGCATCTGAGCATTGCATGACCTCCTGGAACATGTCTTCCTTTCTCTGTCTTGGGCACTTGCTTATCAGGTGGAGGTGCTCCGCCGGTGTGTAGGGGGTGCCTCTGAAGGCCACATCTGCAGAAGCACAAGGAATGACATACAGATGCATGATTGTTAAATACACGCACAGCATTGAAGCAGTATAGTAAAATACACCTCTACTAACATACCAATCACTTTCTCACTGATGCTTGTTAAGCACACATGCCAGGGAACACTCCAAGCATGATGAGTTTAGTCCGCGGCGGAGGGCATTCTAAATCGGGGGGAAAAACAATATGAAAGGGTCATGCTGCAATTGACTAGGGGACAATATTCTAAATTTTCCTACCCTTTTCCACAGACGACGGGTCATTGTAGCAGATATCTCACTCCTGAGAGTAAGCAAGGAAGCAATGGTGCATCTACTACATGCTTGTGGCTTCTACCCTAATCCCTATGCTTTCTGCCCATG